TGGGGAGACCACATGGGGCTCAGAAGAGACCAAGGCTGAGAAAGTGTTGTTACGCTGTACGCATGCGGCCAGTCAGCTGTATGGAAAGGGCTGGCCTTTACAGCATCGGTGTGCCCAAACTGCTCAGTCCCTGGGGCATGCACTGGGGTCAATGCTATAGGGGGTGTAGGCTTTAAAGAAATAAACATGTAAACAAATACATAAATAAATCAAGCCCAGAAAGTGGAGCTTTGCCTTCCCTGTAGAGCAGCACGTAGCCACTCTGCCGGGCACACAGTCCCTTCTAACCACGAGTGAGGAACACGCCAGCGCTGGGAGCAGCCCACGGTTCAACGGGTGCAGGAGCAAAATAAGCATCTCTCTCTGGTCCCTCTCCTAAGCAGCAGCGCAGGACAAGGCTCAGCCTCCAGGTAAAGTGGCAGAGCACAAACTACTGGCAGCAAGAACTTGGCTTTGCAACACATTTCTAGAGCAGTGTCACCTTTGTGGTTATTTCTTAAACTGGAAATAAAAATGGTAGTTTACAATCCAGTTGCTTAATGCGAGTGAATGTTTGCTTGTACGGATGTCAAATGGTCCTTATTCTCCAGCGGGTGTAGTTGGCCTCCTGCGGCAGACCGTGAGTCGAGGTGTGCGAACGCCACCGCCACACCTCTGTCCCCTAGCAGCATTTCCACGCCGCACGCAAACCCCGAGCCATCACGCATTAACACCCGGTTTGCTTTTAGAATAGCATCGAGGAAACCAGAGGCAAATGCTGAGTAACTGCTCCACTCCCAGAGACCACGCAGGATCAATACTCGTGTTTGCTTTAACGGTCTAGGAGAGCACACGTCAGCAGGTTGGAAACGGTCCATGACACCATGGTTTTTGGCTTGAAAAGCCAGTACAGAGGAGTCAGTGTTCCTCCCCTCTTTGCTATGCTTGTATTGCTACATTTTTCCTGGACGTTGGTCTCCAAGACTGACATTCTGGGATTAGCCCAAACTTCAAAAGGGGGCATGAATAATTCTTCATATTAAAGGAAAACTCAGACTATTTATTTAACATATGTCTTTTGGGGCTTGCTCCTTTGATCCGATGAATGCCTGAAATTCTGTTTTTTTCTCCCAGGCTGTCTGATATTTTAAAAAAAAAAAAAGTGGCTTGCTCCTAAGTAGATCCTTTCACACTGTGTATTATAAAGCAGCTGAAACCAGTAGAGAGGAAAAGAAACCCCAAACCCAGCAAAGCTGGCTAAGTGGATCTGATTCCTGTACAAGTTTCCCTGTACATACACCTTGTGTTTGTGGACATTCCTCTCAACGTACTCACTGCCTTGGTTAGTCATGTTTTCTCATAGCTTACATATCTCATTAGTTCATGAGAGCCTTGCTGTAGGAACACATGGCTAAGAAATACACGCACCACTGATGTCACCGCGTGTAAATAAGGAGCAGAAGGACGCTTCCCCATAGCAAAGGGCAACGTCGTAAGTCACCTGTAAAGGATACTGTGTGGACATAGATGAGGGAAATAGTGCATGTTCTCACCTGAAAATATTTTCCTCATTATGATATTCCGGCTCAGAAATGGAGTGAGCGCCGTTTCTCAGTGCTGTTAGGGAGTCTTAGTGTAGGTCTGAAGGGGTAAGCATCAGTTTTCCTCACGACTCTTGCTCAAGACCTTTTTCCTCCTAACTCAGGTGACCAACCTGGGCCAAAACCTGTCATTCAGAGCCCACATTGATTTTATTTTCTGCTGGCAGATGCAGGAGCCTGTGCTGTGCTGTAAGCACAGCAGGTGAGTTAGGCTCTGGTGGACTTCGATTTCAGTTTTCCTACCTTCCACAAACAAGGACCACTTCAACCACCTGCAAAGCGAAACCACTTCCCAGCAGGGACTGCAGAGCTGTCCCAACACAGCATCGCCACTCAGCGCTTTAGTAGAGGAATGGGAGGGAAAACTGCTTCATCTCCCTGAGATTTTAACCCAGAAAAATGCGATTTTTCAAACTGCAATCTACCCAGGACCCCGCTTTCCTAGTCTCTCAATTTATGTGTAGTAATGGGTAACCTATGTAAAGTTAAGGTTGCCATACATCCAGGCTTCCCAAACACGTGTTTTTCCACTCAAAAATGTTATCCAGGCAGATTTTGAAAATTTATCCGCTTCTTGGACGTGGCACACCAGTCGCATGTACCGGGCAGCAGCTCTAACTGGGCTGACCAGTCCAGAAGTCCCAGGCACGGTGTCAGCACGAGTCCAGATCACCCCTGCTGTGGCTGCATGGCAGGATCAACACCTGCAGGAAGCCTCAGCACTGATTTGCACCATCCTACACAGCCTGTGAGCATACCACCAGCTCAAGGGTGCAGATCAGCATGCGGGAAAGCCCAGGCAGAAACGAGACAACCTCAGTAAAAGACGCTCATACCCTGTTAACGCTGCAAAGATCACTGAAAGGAATGCCCTCGTCTTATGACTTGATCTTATTTCACTGTGTTTTCCAGTTTATAGAGTTTAAATGCCTTCAGTTCAGACTTCCATTCACTAGACAAATCCCAGGTTTCAAAACACATGGCTGGCTGACCTTGGGAAAGTCCTGAAACTCAGCTGTAGAGCTGTCCTCCGTTAGTCAGACAAAAATTCAATAAACAGGAAATTTTCTCATTTAAAAAAAGCACCGAAAACAAGGAAGCCAACTAAAATTTTGTTATGGCAAGGAAAATGTTAGGTTGCTTCCAAGCAGCGGTACAAAAACTTTCCTGGTGCTTGGGATGAATCGCATATACTAGGGCAGATTTTATCTTCAGTTAAATGTGTGCTGGGACAACTGGGACAACATCGCCTCCATCTGCGGGTCAGAATTTGCTGCCACATAAGCCTCATGCACAGATGTCCTATGTCTGCATAAAGGACACTAATGTCAGGGAAAGGATACCACTACCACGTTCTTTCTTGCTTCTACAGACTTAACAGCCAGTTGCTACACATTTAGAAAGAAATCCATGGCAGTAATGACAAATTTACAGTAAAATGTAAATCGTGCACGAGTTAGCATAAAACATCAAGAAAGTGGGAAACAAACTCTTTGATTTGGTGGGGCACGGCGCAAAGCTCTGTTCCCAGGCATTGGCTCCCTCCTCCAGTTCTTAGCTGGGAAAAGACACCGACGGAAGCCAGACACCTCCTGTCTGACAGGACGCTGCTCTTCGCAGAAGCTAGCCCATGGATGTTTTAAGTTTCCTTTTAATTTCCTGCCAATTTCTTAAGAAGAAAGCAAGAGTAGAGGCAGCTCTTGTTTCTACCTTGCACGTTTTGTCTCGGGAGCTTGTGACTGGGAACGTGAAAAATCACGCAGGGGTTTCTCAGCAGCAGCACCCTCAGCATTAAGTTTTGCTGCTCCCGAAAGCCCGGGGCTAGAAGCAAAGCCGGGTCGGGCTGTCCGGGCTGTGGCAGGAGGCAGAGCCAAAGGGAGGGATGAGGCTGTGTCTGCCACCCCGCTGCTCCGGGCAGCCCAGGGGTGGGAAGGGAAGCTTCCCAGCACCCAAAAGAGCTGCTGAAAGCCTGTTTCCAGCAGCTGGTTGGTGATGATGATGATGATGATATCCCAACCACAGCCTCCGGGCCAGCAGCAGGGCTCTGGTGTAGGCAGGGCAGGGTGCAGGGAATCAGGCTGCTCCGCTGCCCCAGGCAGCCCAGGGCTCTGCTGCTGCCCGGCCCCTGGCACCCGGAGGCAGAGGGCATTTCCTCCCCACACACCCCCTCCTCCTATCCACTGCCATTAAACGCGACAGGAAACACGTGGCTCGCTGTAAAGAAAGTCAATAAAAGGCCTAACTAGCCCAAAAGAAATCACTTGCCTCAGGAACCAAGCTGATACTGGCATTCTTCCCCAAATACGGCCTTCTTCCCCATGTCCCTAGGTGATGTTTGTCCCTGACCACTGGCCACCCAGCCGGGCTGAGGGGGAGCCCAGGCTACCGCCCTTTCTCTGCCCACTGGGTGCCTCCAAGCAAGCCACAGCATCCCAGCTGAAAATACCTGGCTTCCATCTAAAGTACTCGCAAGCTACCCATCCCCAGCCACACGCACGTCTCCGACGACACCATGGTACAAACATGCCCCCATATTTTGGGGGTCTAAACTCCAGGCCGCATTTCATTCTCTGCAAGAAGCTTAGTGCCTCACTGCCCTCCCTGCCTGCCAGACAGGGGCACGGGTAATGAACCAGGGTGCTGCGTAATTGACCTCGTGGGGTAAGCTGGAGAAACCCTCACCAGGCGATGAAAAGAAGTTTATGGCTTGGTTTAATAAACCCCTTAGCATAACAAATTTTAACGTGAAGTTTAAGTTCATTAAACTTACTTCTTTTCATTGCCAAAGATTTTTTTTGCTAAATTACAGGAAAGTAGGTGTAGATCCCTATTTTTATATGTGTTTCCTTGTGCTGTCTCACACTGCACCGTGACAGTTTACGCCTGTCCTGTTGAAGCTGGCAGGCTTGTATGCTGATGATGCTCTGCTATTCCAAAATTACTGAAGAGCTGCCAGGAAAGAAGCTGTAATCAAGAATATACAAAACACCTGCTTCCACTAAAAAATGTTTCTTCCATTCAATGCTCTCAGAGCTTAGCTTCCCATCCATCCATCCATCCATCCATCCATCCATCCATCCTAACTCTGGAAAGCTACTACCTCCTCCCCTGAAAAAAGAAGATTGTTTCAGATAGACCTGCCCAAACCAACTAAGCTATTTAGGGGTATTTTGCCTTTAGAGCCACTGTGGGCTTTCAAAAATCCCACCATTCATTGTGGTTTCTTCACGCTATTACCCGTTACCTTCCCAAAAGCCAGCCATTCTTCCGTACTCAACCCCAAAACACGCAGGGAAAATTACAACACAAGCCACTTGCAAGGCTTTGCTTTTAGAAGTAAAAAAAATAATGAGAAGCCAATATTGTTTCAATCAATTACAGGTTTTAAGTAATAAAGCAAATAAAATGATAATAGCGTACCTTCATGTCGGAGGAGCGAAGTTAGAATTAGCTCTGTGGAAAACAAGCCAGTTCTTTGCAGCCTACTGGCAACCAATCGCTCCTTACGGCCACATCTGTGTGAATGATTGAAAAGTTCCTCTGAGGTTTAACGGTATGAAACAGAGAAGCAGCAGCAAGGAAACTTTTTTTTTCCCCCCCTCCCTCACAAAAGTCCTGCTTACTCTGCCTTTCTGGTCACAGAGAAAAAATACACGTAAAAAAAAAAAAAAACAGGACACCCTAACCCTTCCCCTCTCCCCCCCCCAAGTTTACTACAGCTCCAGGCTGAATACCCATGGGGATCTTTTTATTGCAGTAGATCACACACCACTTATCTTTCAGCCCTGGTGAACCGAGGGGGGGGGATGTTATGACATGTGAGAGGAAGCGGCAGGGTGGAGGAGGAGGGCTGGTGTGAGCGTGGCTCCCTGGACTTTTTCTGCAAGGTGGAATTTCCCAGGCGGGGTGAGCCCTGGCAGGGACATTCCCCTGCCAGAGAGGCTGGCAGGAAACCCCGGGCTGGCGTAACGCTGCCAAAAAAGGGTCAAGAAGACGCCGATGCGAGGTTCACAGCAAGAATGCTGAACAGCAAAGGGGCAAAGGGAAACCTGCAGCGTACGGGCATCGGGGTTTCTTTCCTGACAGGGTTGGGTTCTCTCTCCTTGCCCCCGCCCTGCCTGCGGTGCTGCCAGTATGGCTGCAAGCAGTCAGGGGGCCTCTTGTAGCCCTTTTCTGTCTTGGCACTACAGGGGAAACTGGACCAGCAGGTGCCTGCGTAGCGGTCACATAGGAAGCGAGAGAGATGCCATGTCCCACAGATGAAAAGACAGGTCCAGCTTTTGGGAGGTGGAGCATGGCAAACACCTGTCCTTGGCGACTGCCTGGATTTCAGTGGGATTTTTGCCCTCAGAAAGGTCAGGGTGTTTTTTCACGGAGGCTAGTGTCAGCGTGAAAGCTCCATGCAGCCAGAAGCCTGATTAAAATGGAGGGGGGGGGGGAGGGGGTGGGGGCTGTAAAAGAAAGAAAGAAAAGAAAAAAGTACTCATGTACTCCCCTTTATTACCGATGCATCAGATGTAAAATAGTCACCTGCTCCAGTAGATACAATAACCTTCATTATGGAAGAAGTTTCCAAGGTTTTCCTAAAAGGTGAGCAGATCCATCTGAATCCCACTCCCTTTTCTTCTCCTTTCAGCAGCGGCACGGGCCAGGATTCACCATCCTCATCAAACACAGTGAGCAAGGACAGGACACCCAAACCTTCCCAGCACAAACACCCCCCGTGGCTTCAGTGCCTTCCATTACCCCTTCCCAAGCACAGTCAACGCATGCGGGTCCCGGCGGCTGGCACCAACAAGGTAAAAGCAC